GGCCGGGCCGGGCCGGGCCGGGCCGGGCCGGGCCGGGCCGGGCCGGGCCGGGCCGAGCGCTGCTGCCGCTGCTGCTGCCGCTCCTGCTCCCGCCGCCGGGCGCTCCTCCGCTTCGCGGCGACGGCCGGGCGCCCTCCCGCAGACAGCCGCCCTGCCCCCGTCGGCCAGCAGCCCGCCTCCCGCGCAGGCGCGCGGGCCGCTTCCGGGTCCCGGGGCGGAAGCGAGCGCTCGTGGGCGTTCGGCAGCCCGTGCGCTGTCCTCTGCCTCCGTTTGACGCACTGTGCTTCCCGTAGCGCTGGAAGCGGCCGCCGGCACCACCCTATGGCGCCGCTCACCGTCGCGTAGACTCACTGCTCACTAGACTCGTACACGCGCCGAGCGCTTCCAAGTGCCGTTCTGTCTTGCCTGCCTCTTCCCGGCACTTCGCAGCGTCTGCTCAGAAGCGAGGAAGCGGGCGTGAGCTCAGCGCGGGTTTCCGAAGAGGCGAGCGTGGCGAGGACTGCGGGCTGGGCGGCGAAGGCGAGCCCAGAGTTCCCCAGGTGTTTGAGACTGGACGCCCCACAATCCGTTCCCACTGACCATGCTAGCTGGGGATGATGGATGTTCTGCACATCTGGAGAGCACCAGGCGTACTTCCGAGCTCAGAATCGCGCTGTTCAGGGCAAGCTTAAACTGCGAAGAGATAGATCTTTCCCACTGCGTTGCCTCCTGCACCGCTCACATTCCCTCTGGGAGGCACATATCCGATCAATCGTCCCTCCGGTTCTCAAAAGCTTTTGCTGCAATGAATGAATGAGCGTGCCATCCTATGCGAGCGTGGGCACTTCCTACAACTCCCAGCAATCTCGTGCGATCTGGAAATCCTGGGAATTGTTTTACTTTTTTGCGATTTAAACATTCTTCGATTTTAACGTGTCGCAAGACTCTTGCTTTTCTCTCTCTCTCTCTTTTGCCCGTATTGGAAAAATAAAACAAATCCATGCAATGAGCATAACTGTGACCGGATGGCGGCATGTAAGCCCCTTTTTGCTCTCCGTGCTTTATTTCTGGTAGACGCGCGGTTTAGCTACAACTAAGCTAACATCTTGGCTTTCCGCGTTCATGGGCAGGTATAGAGAATCAGAAGGTCGCACCTGCAGACGATTGCCATGGAGACCCCGTCATGTCAAAGTCCACCTGCCGAAGTTGGCGCTGGCAAAGGCGCTGCAGGGCTTCGAGGGAGGGCGGGGCTGAGAGTCGGCCCTTCGGAAACGAGGAGTCGGTTGGGTTTGCAAACTGGATCGGGTCCAGCGGTCATCCCACCAACCTGCTGAAGCGCATCCATGGAGTCCTCTCCCTCAGTGGTCGTCCTCGGCACCCATTCTAGCAGGACGGAGATCAGAGGGGTTTGCAAGGCCATTCCACTGAAATCTCTCCCCCCACCCTTCCTGTTTCTTTTTCCTTGTGTGTAATGTCTTTTGGAAGCCTGCAGGCAGGAATTGTTTTCTGTTACTGATAATTTCTTATCTGCTGAGGGAGACTTCTAGGATGAAGAACAGCATAAAAATACTGTAAATAAAGGATTCGTTTTAAGCATTTAGACTATCTAATTCACAATAAGACCCAGGCCCTGTATTAAGGATTGCAATCTAGGAATAAACTCAGAAAAGAGATGCGGAAGGGATAGTAGGTTTCCTTAACTGTGTCTAGGAGACGTTTCACAGTTTATACAACAGCCTAGCTCTTGTTTCCCGTGTCAAAGCCAGTTGCACAGATAGATGTTATTTTAGTTCATGCATATTTATTGCAGTTGTAGGAATAAACATTGGGTAAGGTTGGTGGGCACGGCTGCCATGCAAAGCTCACGTACCTGGGAGAGGTTCCCACCTCACCCCCATGACTTCCAGTGTCAGCAGGTATTTATTTAGCTATTTATAAGCTGTCAGGTAGTCCAGCAAGACTCTCTAGGTGGCATTCAACCAGTAGAAAATTACAGATTCATAACAAAACATTAAACACCATCATTAAAATATAAATAACAAATAATTTAACAAGGATCATTCTAACGTGTGTCGAGGCGTGATGGGCAACCATACTGATTTACTGAAATCCCAATAAAATTAATAATCTAAGTCAAATATTAAAATCAATTATTAAGATCATTAAAGGCTTCCAGGGTGCAGAAGAGGCATATTTTTGCCTGCTGACAAAATGAAAACAGAGTTGTTGCCAGGCAAAATTCTCTGGGGAGCCTCTTCCACAGGCGGGGGGGCTGCCACCGAAAAGGCCCTTCTATTTACCATCCCTCGCACCTCCTTGATTTATAACAACACATTTATTTATTTATTTATTTAGTACACTTCTGTGCCGCCCCATTTGCCGAAGCCTTAAGGGAAGAACATGTGGCAATGCCCGGTCGTCCAGAGGCATGTTCTCAAGATTATCCATGAGACCAGTTTTGAAGGCAGTGGTGTCTCAGGCCCAGTACATAATTCAAAACTTTTTATTTTAAACCAGACACATGCAGCATTGAATCTGAGCATGCACAGAGGAAGAATGTGGGTTCAGACAAAGGACTACCTAACCCCAGCACAAAAACCCACAACAGGACCCCCCTGCCCATGTTCCCCAGCAACCGTCATTCCTAGGCATCCTGCCTCTGATGTAGGAGGTGGTGGAGCGTCATCAGGACCTCCATGAATTTGTCCAATCCATTTTGTAAATGACCTAAATTGGTTGGCCAGCACTACATTCCCCAAGAAAGCATTTCACAGTTCGATTGTGTGCTGTGTGGCAAAGTATTTTTATCTGCCCTGAAGTTCAGCTTCCTGGCAGGGAACACCAGACGCCACTGATCTCTGCATTTCCCCCACCCCAGTAGAAAAAAAGACCTGCAGAAGTTGCAAAGGGCTGAAAAAAGCACACATGCGAAATCTCATTATTCCAGTTCTTTTGCACAGATGGAGTGAGAGCTTTTTCTCTTCCCACACACACTTGTGCAGAAGCATCGCCTACCCAAGTTCAGCTGGGGGCATATTATAATCCTATGCAAGTTTCTATAGGATTAGTTTCCGGAAGTTCTTAAATTCAGCCACTCACACCGAGGTTTGTCTTTAAGTCTTGATGTCTTAGGCAAAAAATATTATTTTTCCAGAAAATCCAGGATCATTCATTGGATGTCTAGGTTGCCTTTAAGGCAGCCCTTCAGGTGCTAGGATAATTGATAGACAACTCTCAATGGGGTGAGCTGGGAGCAGTGAATTGCTGCAATTCATAAGCCAGGAAAGGGGGGAATTGCATATAGGCCCAGCATTTGACTCCCCACGGAGAAGAACCGTGGGGGACATAGTGATGTAAAGGTAAGATATAAATGTTACATTAAATAAATAGAAGAAACATTAGTAACTATGTGAATTTATATACATTTGCGATGTGAACTCTTGTATAAAATCAATACTTTGAGTCAAAATATTTCATTCTGGGTTTTTGTTTTATATTACAGCTCAGGAATCTTGAGAGAGCAATATACAAGGGGACATTTAAAATTACATCAGCTCTGAGTCTTTTTTGCCTCTGCTTTGGAAAAGAAACTACTTCCTATTGTAGATCTCTGTTCTAGGAATGGCTGCATTTCCCCAACTCTTTTTGGGGGTGCAAGGAGGACAAAAACTATTCTATGCCAGTCATCTTTTTTAAACCATAATGAGAGGGCCTATTCTGGAGACAGACATTATTTCTTTCCCATTTAAATAGCCAGAGGGCGTTGGAGCTCATTCCCTTAAACACATTGTTTCTTCTTCACTGGGTCTTGCAGTATGTCATCCACTCAGAAGTCCTATTGATTTACATCCCAGTAAGTGTGCTTATAATTGGAGCCTTAAACTAGTAGGCTCCTTTGGGGATGTGTTAACATAGAAAAGAGAAGTTTATTTTACATACTTCAGCTAAATTGTACCAGTCTCATTTTTGTTGAACTTGCATAATACTACTGAAATGTTTTAATTTTTAGCACAAATTGAGAGGACCCCTATTCAGCACGTCATATAGGCCAGCAGGGGCTTGGCACAGAAAGGAAATGATTGATCATGCAGGAAATAAGGGTTAAGTCACACATCCATAATGTTCTATTGAATTGCACACAGACACTTGAAGAAAATAACACAGTAGGCAAAAAAATGTGTTTATTTGTCCTTTCTTAGTGCAGGAAGTATTTGCAGGGCAATTTGAGGAACATCCAGAATGAATATATATTTGGCAAGTTTTCATTGCTACATCCACAAAACGACGGAAGTAATCAGAAGACTACAGAGACAGAATGGAGGGATTAAGGAAAGGGTTTGACCTGGCGAATGTGCATGGGGACTCAGGGCCAAGCTGGACACCAGACGAAACAGGTACATCTGCATGCTGCAGCACGTGTTGCTCTTGTGTTCCTCGAGATTACAGGGAACCCGCTTCCTCTGTGAATAGCATTAATAAAAGGGCCTCCCCGAACACCCCCACCCCCCGTGTGGGGCTGCTGAACTGAAGAAAGCTTTAAGTAACCACGACTTGACCTTATTATGGTCAACTCAGAGCAGTCGCAGAAGTGAGAACACATGATGAAATTTAGGTTATGCTCAGATGCACCCTTGTTCTTTGCACCTGGATCGGGAGGGGTGAGACAAACTGACAAACCCGAAGCCTGCTCAGTATTGCAAAGTTCAGGGCATAGCGTATGCGAACTGAGATTAAAAAAAGGCCTACAGTTCCCAGCATGCCGCTGGGGCATGCTGGGAACTGTAGGCCTTCTCCCCTTCCCCGCCTACACCTGCGTCGGATGGCACCTTAACCCTTTGCTGCCTGGCGCTCGCTCGCTTCCCATTGACCCGCCTCCGGGGTGGGCGTTTTCCAGCGCTCCGTCGGCATGCGGAAGTGCATCTGCCCCCTCATTGGCTCGCCGTCCGCCCCGCCCCGCCCCTTCTGCCCCCGCCGGCCAGGCAGAGCCGCTCAGGCCGGAGAGTCGAGTGCCGGCGCGGGGCGCTCGTCCCCAGCCCGCCGACGCCCAGGCTCACCCCGAGGTTGGCCAGTGCGCGCAGCCGAGCGCCGAGGCGGTCGAGCGCGATTGGCCGCGCCTGCGAGCGGAGCGGCCGCACCTCTGGGCGACGCGGGCGGACGGTCGTTAAGGCAAGCGAGCGCGTCGGCGGACCCGCGCCCACCGCCGCCCGCGCGACCGCCGCCCGCGCGAGCCGGCTTCCCCGGCCGCCCCGCTCCCGCAGTCGGGGCCGCCCGGCGAGCTGCCGAGGTCGGACAGCGGCGAGAACTTTTCCCGGTCCGGCGGAGGCGCTTCCCCGTCGGGGACGGAGCGGGAGCGCCGCGCGCGGCCCTCGGTGGAAACTGAAAGTGCGCCGCGAAGGGGCCGAGCGGAGGCGGAGGCGCGGAGCCGCAGGGCGCCCCGGGAGCTGCCCCGCCGCGCTGGAGGGAAGTGAGTCGGGGACCGGGTGCGACGGGCGGGGAGCGGGCGCCGGAGCCGGAGCCGCGGCACGGCGGGGGCGCCCGGGGCAGGAAGAGCAAAAGTGGCCGGGGAGAAGCGGGGGCGGAGGGAATGGGGGCCGTCGGGGCGGGATGGCGAGCGGAGCCGCGGTCAGGTTCGAGGGGGCGCCGCGGAGGAGGAAGTACGGAAGGGGGCGCAGAAGCAAACGCGTGGGGACCCGGCGGGAGGCGCAGTGGGGATGGCGCGGGCGAAGGGGAAGCGCGTGGGGCCGTCGAGGCGGGGGTGGCGGGGCAGGGGAGCCGCGGTCGGATGGAGGGGGGGCAGGTAAAGGGCAAGGCAGGAGCGCGCGGAGAAAGAGCCGAACTGAAATTGGAGGGGGAGTCGGGGCAGGAGCAGAAGGAAAATTGGAGGAGGAAGCTAATGCCGACTGCGAGAACTGAGTCACAATCCCCGAGAGGAGGCGGCGGCTGGGGTGGAAAGATGCGGACAGGCCAGAGAAATGGGGGGTGGGGAGACCCCGGTGCAGGGCAAGCCCGGCGAGGGGAGGGAGCCCGTTGGGAGAAGCGCCTCTGCTCCCGTGTGGAGTGAAAACAGCGTCAGGGGCGCGCGGGGAAGCAGGTTACACCCGAGGAGACCTTGCTGTGCATGCCCCTGCTTATCGTGCTGGGTTCTGGATCGCTGATGGAAAGGAGGACCGATGCCAGGAGGGCACGAAGCACGTGGGAATTAGTTAGGGGGCACAGGTGGAGGGAGCCCCCGGTGTGGAAACAGGAAACGAGGGCACGAAGCGAATTGCTGGGAGCTGCCAGAGGTGGGGAGAGTTTCCATCAGTGACGTGGAGGGGGGGGGGGCTGAAGGATGGGGAGCAACTTGAAGGCAAAAAGAGATTGGGAAGTGTTTTCCTCAGCCCCAGTGGGGCGAAGGACCCAGAAGTGGGGAAGTCAGGTGGAGGACCTTGTGAGAGGAGAAGGTATAGGAAGAGTAATATAGTTGGAAAGGATATTGAGGGAGGGGAGACGGAGGCGATTCCCCCCCTTGCCTGCCTCGAAAGGTTGGCTCCAGAAAAGTGCATGTGAGCTCTTTGGAGAGGGAACCAGTGGGAGAAAAGCAAAGAACTGGGCAA